AGGGCCTTGCTGCTGGTCTGAGCGCTTTAATGATGCGAAAAGCCCTCTGGCCTCACCAGCTGCAGTCCGGTAGCTCTGGAGAGCTGCTCCGGCTTCCCGGCGTCCTTCAGGAGAAGCAGAGCCGCAGTCCGTGCACAGTCTGGCCAAGTGTCGGCGTTGTGCCTCTGTGCCATCAGCCGTGGCGGCCGCCCCTCCGCTCTGTGGTGGTCCCCGGGTGGGCGCCTGTGGTCAGGGCACTGCCACCCCGTTCGTTACTGATGGTGTTGAAAGCCGGCCGATGGCTCTGCTGCTTTTTACTGGTGAAAGTGTCTGTTTTGCTGCTTCATACCTCAGTCGTGCTGTGTTTAGAAAAGTTGCGACTAATTGTCATTGCAGCGCTGGAGCCAGCACCTGTGAGCGCGCATGGGAGGAGGAGGCTGTTGAGAAGTGTACTTCCCGGTCTCCCTGAGCACGTGGGATTTTGGGCTGATTTGGGGAATGAGTCGCAGGAGTACAAGATTGTAACTAACTTGTATTTAATACAGTGGCATTTTCCCTGCTGGAGCCCTCGCGCTGTGGTTTGGTCTGACAGCAGCTGTTTCCTGCCCCACCCCACCATGGGCGTTGTGGTCGCCCCAGGACCTGATGTAGCAGAGGGCATGGTCTTCGCACCTACAGTTTAAAAGCTCCCTGCAGTGCTTTTGGATGCAATAAAACACAACTGTTTTTAAAGCACTTCTGGAAACAGTGAGAATATTATGAAGTTTTATTGTAACAGCGATTCCCTGGCATATAAAACTGTTTGGCCGCGTGAAAGAATGAGAGGGGAGGTGGTAGCTTCCACAGTCTTGACTGAAAGACCTTTGCTTTAGGGAAATTGTCCTTGTAGATTGAGTTGGGGAGGGGATGCACAGATGCATGCAAATACGGCAAGAACATAGTTTGCGTGTTCTCGGGCTCTGCCTTCAGTTCAGATGGGGTGCAGCAGCAGGTAGAGAGCGCAGGTACCAGCGTCTGCTCTCCCTTAATGTCTTTTGGATGGTGGGATGTCCGAGAGGCTCCAGTGAGGTGCCAGTGGCCTTTGGCACCCTCAGTTGTTTGGACTGACACGCGGCTAACACCTCCTCCCTTTGCTTCTGTTGTGTGTTGGATCCACCCTCACTGCTGTGGTGTGGGGGTATTCCCTGGGGAGCCTGGATGCTCGCCTTTGGAGCGGAAGTGCCTGCCCTCTTCCGAGGATGCCTGGCACGGGTGGCTGCTCAGGCGCTGGGTAGGGACCGTGCGCGGCTCCGGTGTTTTCAGAAGTGTTTGTTGATGGAGGAGCGCTTGGGAAGCCGATCTGCTCAGCTGTGCTACGTTTTGGTGCATCTGGTCCCGACAGCACCGCGGGGCACCTGCCTTTATCGTAACCCTTCACCACTCTAGAGGCGTTCCGGCAGGAGAAGACGTTGTGGATTTCTCCTGAGTAATAGCAGGAATAAAAGGTTGTGAAAGGAGAATTGTCTTTTGCCGGTGTAACTGATAAAATCAAAGGGGAAAGCAGACCACGTGCTAGGCTGGGATATGCTGTTTAGGCAGGCCTGCAGTAGAGGTGTTCAGATAGGAGTGACAGGAGGAGGAAGAGAAGCAGTCTGTAAGATTAAATTAAGGCCATGTTCCAAGTTCGGTTTTTCCGTAGTGAAACTTTCTTTGCTTATTTGCAGGCGTCACTAACAGTAAGCAAACGCTTTCCTGCTCACTGTTGGTGTAGCAGCAGCCCATCAATCTTCTGCCTGCCAGGTCCCCTGGAGGACCTTAAAAAGCATCTTGCTGTGGAGGATCTTGTCCCAGTAGCTCCCTTTCGGTGCTGCACAACGTCAACAGCCTCTGTCTTACTTGGAATGACTTTGTCATTATGTCAAGTACTCGGCTGTTTCTTTACAGGGGTCAATTACTTTTAATAGTAAATTAGCGCCTCTAAAGACAGTTAAGTAGCCTGAACCTGCTATTAAATTCGGTGTTCTTAATTAAATTTTTTTTCGGTGGCAGATTTGCACAGTTAATTTAAAGATGTAAACAACAGGCTTAGATTTGAGAAAGGTGAAGCTTGGCCTTTTCACTCTGGGAACTGCTGCTTCTCCCCCGAACAAGAAAAGCATCCCCCTGAGCTCATTTTGGATAGAGGCTGCAACGTTCCCTGTCTTCATTGCTTTAATTTTTTTTTTTTAAGGGTGAAAAGTGTTTTCAGGAGAGTAATTTCGGGCTTTCACTCCAACAGTAATAGCTATTGACAGTAATACTTGTTTGGCAGCCAAAAAGCTCTTTTAGCCAGCATGTGTTGGGGTTTTTGCCTTTCCCTCCCTTTTTTTGGTACTGAATACAATTGGGTGAAGACAATTCCTGATTCCTAAATACTTACCTGCAGGCACTAAGCATATTTTAGGATGAAGGATAATACTTATCCTCTTGCTCGTTCTTCTATCTGTAGGCTCTGTTCTTGGGGCAGAGGAAATTATTTTCCGTGGGAGGGTCCCTCTGAGTCCTAGTGGACAGAGGCCTTGCAGAGGGCAAGTTTTGAGATGCTTGTTACCCTTAGCTGATTTTTCTTGGTAGTACTTTTTCCCTTTTTAGGTTGGTCTTCAAGAAATGACCCATCCCATGGGTTCATGAATCATGTAGTCCTGCCGCTGAAAACAAGGAAAACGCAATTAAAACAAGTGGTTTTTATAAAATGGTTTGTCTTGTAATTGCAGGGCTGAGAGGGAGCCTTGCAAGAGAGCTAATGCATGGTGAGGGGAAGCGAAGCGCTCACCGGCCAGAAGCTAGCCCATTGTCTCTGGTCAGACCTACTTGAAGCACAAGGATCTCTGCCAGTTTCTGTATTTTAAACCTGACACTTCTGTCTGCAGAGACTTCTTTTAATAATTTTTTCTTCCCGGTATGAAGCACGGATTTGTGTGGAGCGTGGTCTAAAGTGTTTGGAGTGGCTTATCCTTGGGGCAAGGATCTGCTGTGGAAAGGGCACAGAAGAAGACTTTGGGAACACCTGTCCTCTGTGGTTGAAGTGCAGTGGAAGTTGTGGGGAAA